GGAAAGTCAATTTTTTTTTTAAAAAAAAAAATCCCCAACGTATTGAAAAATGAGAAGCAGAAGCCAGCCATTTGGAAGAAGGCCTTAGCAAAGCCTCTTTGCATCGTTTCCCAAAATTGTACGGACGTTCCCCTAAATTACCAGAAGCGAAGCTCTATTCCAAGCAGGCGTGACTTGGATTCTTTGCATTCGGGTACGCAGCGCTTCCTAGTTCCTGAAGAGATCCTGGTTTAGGATTGCTCCATCCTTCCTCCTCCCCCTCTGCAGTCGGCTTGAAGGGGGGGGGGAGCAGTTTTTGCGACTAGAGCAGGGGTAAGTAACCTTGGCTCTTTTATGATTCACAGTTACGCTGGCTCAGGAATTCTGGGAGTTGAAGTCCATGAGTCATAAAAGAGACAAGTTGCGTACCCCTGGACTAGAGAGATAAGAATTATGGAGAAGACGAGTTAAACGGAAAGAGTATACACAGAGACACATGCGGTATATCAGTTTTAGGGAGAGATCCCTTTTTATTCTCTCACCTTTCATTTCTTCCAAATCTTCAGTTTCCATCTCTACCTAGCACTTGAACTGTACTATGCAGCAGAGGCCTCAAACGTGCTTTTTCAAAAGGTGACTGGACTGGATTTTTTTTTCTCCTAAGGAAGACGTTTCTCTTCCCATCCAAGAAGCTTCATCGGTTCATATGTAACAGAATTTTGAACATGCATTTTGGGTTTCTGCTTTGCAGTTTCTCTCCCAACGGCAGATATTAATGTATTTGCCTGGTACATCAGCCATAGTTGATTCAAAAATTGTTTACTAAATAAATTTGAGGGGTCTTTGGCGCTTTTGGTTGTTTTCTTGCAGATGTTTTTTTAACCAAACTAGGTAACATCAGTGCTAGTAAGGAGTGGGGTTTACTCTTACTAGCAGTGATGATGTTTCCTAGTTTGGGTAATGAAACATCTACAAGAAAGCAACCAAGCTCAGAGCACCTAGGACCCCCTCATTCAACCCTGAGCTACAAACATTCTACTTTATTCGCTCATTTGCCTGGATTTTCAAGGAACCATACATCACATTTTAGTCTACTTTATTGCGTTAGCCTGAATGTTAAACTCCAAAGTCAAACATTGCTGTAAACCAGGTGTTCCTAAGCTTTTTGCAAACAACCTCCCCTTAATGTACACACACACCCTAAAAATCAACGCACAAATGAACAATGAAAACAATCCTATAAAATTTTGGCAAAGTGAATTCATTGTAACCAAATACCTAAAAAGTTCTTCATACTCCCCTGGAAATCAGTCTTCATTTACCTCAGTTTGGAGAACCCTGTAAACCAGGGTTGGGGAACTATGACTTTTTTGTGATTGTGGATTTAAGCTCCCAGAATTCCTGAGCCAGCCATGCTGGCTTTAAACAATGGTTTTGTTTTAATGTTTTCAATAATCCAATCTTCCTCTTCCCATATTTCAGCTCAAGAAACTTTATCCATATGCTGGAACAGCCTTCCTGATCTAGAAATCCATCACCTTGATCAAAGGTTATGCTGGCTTCTCAAATTGGCAAATGTCCGACTATGACATTTACCTATTTGAGAAGTGTACCAGAAAATTAGTATGCTAAAGAAGACTTACCTTCACATGACTGATTGTAATTATTCCAACTTAATTCTTCTACATTTTGCTGAAGGCAGGGCAGAAATCTACATCCCACATTTATAGGACCTTTTCCTTTTGTTCTCATGTCTTAATATTTGCTCATGCTCATTTATGAAATGTGTGCTATAAGGCATGATTTGGAAGCTAGAATGTCTAAGCCAAAATCATGTTATATACTTAAATTTGGTTTGTATATTATGAGAACATGGCCACTGAGGTTTGTCAGTAGTGGACTGATGGATTAATGTGTTGACACAGCCAACATGTTAAACTAAATCACATGGAATTTGTTGATTTTTTTTCAAAGTAAGCATATGTTTGCAGTTTTACATCATTCCTTCTGTGTCCATACTTACATTAACATACCTGAATGAGCCCACTAAATTTAGTCAACATAATCCACTTAATATTCTGCCTCTTATAACCAACATTTGTAGTTATTCAATTTTATCCTGCAAATAGAAATGACTTAGGGTGCAATCCACCATGCTTGTATGTAGAACAAATAATTTAAAAAAATACCAGAAGCATTCATTCTTGCCACTTGATGCTGCTTAAAGGCAATTGACATTTTCACCAATAGAAGAGATAATCTTTGTACAATGAAAAGGCGGAACTTAGCCATTGTACTATTGTAATAAGTACAGTAATGTTAAATAAAAATTGTAAATAGCAGAACTGATTCTTTTATCCCAAAGGAACAGTGATTACTGTGTTTTTTCATGTGAATTGGCTGGGTTTTTTATGTTTATTTCATTATGCTTTTACTATTAAACCTCATGTCATTATAACAGCTCTTTCATGATACTGCAATTTTGCATGCATAACTACATTTAAGATTCTTCAGAGTTGTAGATTTTATATTTTAAAAAATGAACGCTCAACCATTTTATTATTCCAGCAGCTTTTATAATTTTAAATGCAAAATACACTCATGACAGAACCAGATCTGAATGCGAACAATTAAATTTCTCATTCTATTTAAAGATTTTGATTAGATGTAGATATTATGCAAAACCATTGCTTGTCTAGCAAACCATGTCTTGATAGGGCTTTATAAATTTAACAGAATCCTAAAAACACATTTGTAACTACTATGTAACTTCTACTATCGCCATCCTTTTGGACTATAATTTTATTATTTGGACTAACAAAATGTAAAAGACAGTGAAAATTTGGGATGTTGTGAGCACGTTGTGGACATGTATGGCTGGTATGATGGACAAAATTAATTACAAACCACCTGTTTACTATTTATTTAATTAAATACATAAGGCCACCAGACTGTATTGCAACTGTAGGAAACATGAAAAGCCTTTAAAAACATATAAGAACGTGTTTGGAAAAGAATTCAGTCTTTAAACAGAGCCATTTAATACCCAAGAGGCTCATCACCCACTTAGATGGGGAGGGGCTCTGTTTTTAAGAGCTCTCTTGGCTGTACAGCTTTTTGGGAAGTGCCTTTTAAAATGTAAGGACACAGTAGTACCACCAGATATCAAGATTATTCTTGAGGCTGTTTTTTGTTTTGCAGCATGCTAATGTCCCATTTGAGTCTTAAGTATGAACCAGTTGTCAAGCATGCGAGTGTAAACCACATGAGCATGTGGGTGCTGCAATGGTCATAAGTGTTAAAAATGGTCATAGGTCACTTTTTCAGTGCTGTTGTAACTTCAAATGATCATTAAATAAACTGTGGTAAGCCAAGGACTACCTGCATATCATTTAGGCTTTCAGAATCAAAGGTCTCTCTTCTTTTCTTCCATCCAATCTTCCTCCCAACAATAAAAGACAGACCCTGTTATACCTGACCAGAAAAATATTCTATGGAAAGATTGCTTCTGGAAGGTTATAATTCAATTTGGCAATTGATTAAAAGAAGCCCAGTGGACAAAAGGAAGTCATTCTTAACAGAATGGGTCAACTGCCAATATAATTGAAATTGCGATCTCTTGAAGTCTAAGAACCATTTCATAGGCATGAACGTTTAATCTTAAACTGAAAATCACAAATGTGTTTGGAGCCAATGGGTGGTAGAATGTGAACAATGGAATTAAAAATACAAAAGACTTGTAAGCAGCAGTTACAGGGCAGTCCTAAGTTAAAGCTTAACATATGAAGAAGAGGCAATGACAATTCATAAACACAAGAACTGATAATAAGATTGTGTCAGGCAAATTAACACCTGTAATGGGATAAGAAGGCCTTATCTCTATTCAAAGCCAAAAGAACAAACACAAATTGTAATTAAACTATTCCTGGCTAACAGCTCTTTTTGAAATTCTTGTATAAAGAATGGAAACTTTTAACAATCTTTAAAGTGTGAGTAAAATATGGTTTTTAGTCTAAGGACACCAGGTCCTTGAATCTTCAAGTAAAATATTGAAATGTACCTGACCATCATCTAAAAAAATGGTTTTGAAATAAAATTGTGTCCATGACTCTGAAAATATTGTAGTATCCTTCAAAATGGAGCTTTAAAATGTTTGTGTAGATATGCTTTTCTTCATCACAACTGTTGACTGATCTTGTCCAGAACTGGATTCTAAGGCCTGATAAGCATTGGGACAGGAGTCTCTGAGGTAATACCATAGACTAAACTGGAAATGATTTTTTTAAAGCTACTAAAGCAATAGAAAGAGACTTTAAGAGAATTATTGGAAGTCACCAGAATTTTAGTTTGATTCAAAGTAGATTTGAACTTTTTAATGCTTCTCTTTACATCAGGGGTGTCAAACTTGCATATCACGACTTTTTTTCTCCCATTGCCGGCAATGGGGTGGGCACAGTTTCGCTATGATGCATCTGGCCCACGGGCTGGCAGTTTGACACCCCTGCTTTACAGTTTTGAATCTAGCTACAATACCTTGTCTCCGATTACTATGAATGATTTGCACATTATGCCCTTTACTAAATAAAACAAAAATGAGTTTGTACAACATATTACCCCCAAAACCAGTTTATAAATAAAATGACCAGATTTAGATATTTAGCCAGAACCATACTTAACATGTTGTATAAACTAAGCATTTCTTATTTATTTAGGGCACTGAACATCAGATCATAATACCTAAGCTCATATGTGGTTATCTATGATACTCTGATGAATATAATGTAACATAAGCTTGGGCAAAACTATAAATGACTATTTTCCATTAAGTTCACAATATGAAACTGGACAAATTATTCAAATGTTAAGGATTCATAAAGGGAACTTTGAGTATCCATTCTTTCATGGTGATAATTTTGAAATCCTGAACAAACATTAACAACTCTCCATGTACCCACATTCATTTATCTCAAAACTGATAGGCTTTTTCATCTTGATTATAAACAAAGTTGCGGAAGAGATCGTTTTAATCAAAGTAAGCAATGTTTATTTGAACTTCAATAAGGACGACCCCCCCCTCCTAAGTTTTGGAATTTAAAAAAAAATACTGAAAACGTATTACAGCTTGAATGAATATAAAAACATTAGCAGAAAGAAAACAATTAAAATAGTAAAAAAAATAACCTTTTAGTTTCAAACACTTGAATAGGTTAAGTCCTCCCAACATAAGCTAATATCTGCTAAGTTGGTAAAACACAAACATTTTACAAAATGAAAAAATTGCTTGTTATGTGAACTGCATAAAACCGCTCAATTTTTTAACGACTGTACAGTTTTGTCTTGAAATCTACAGACCGTGCAGTACACAACAAAAGCATTGACCCACCCTTTCTCTATGAAGCTGCAGATGGCAGAAATATTGGTTAATATTAAGATGAAGCCACTATTAAAAGTGAAATGCACACAAAAAGACTTGGTCTTGTCTTAACAAGCTATGTTTACATTTACAGTATAATTCTACCTGTCCTTCTCAGCTTCATTTCCCACCCACTTCCCGCATCTATCTAATTTCTTGTCCATCTCTAAATTCCAATTATACTGTACATACATTTAGGAGAGAGCATATGTAAAAATTCTTGCAGCAGTATGGTCAATACACAGTTTCAGAAGATTACACAGAAGCCTTTCTTCCCCAAGATAGCTACTATCATGGAGACTTTCAAATACCAATGCAAACTTTCCTTTGAGTATAACTGTCAATGTTGGGTATTCATTTCAGGACAAAGTATAATGAATGAGTCACATATGGTGATGTTAGTGAGTTAAATAAAACTGCTTGAGAACAATATTCAATTGACATTAAGTTGGCCATCCCTAGCTTTTACAATCCCCTGCCTAAAGATTGGAAAGAGATTACTATTGTGAAAACTGAATTTTTAAAAATAACTTAGTAATTTAATAGGACCTTTCTTCCTGATCTAACAATTGGTCACAGATATCAAGTATAATAAAGGCTGCTGCCAGTTTTGTACATGTGTCTGAGTCATACATCCTTCAAGTACATGCAAGGCTCACTAGATTCTGAAATTCAGAATTCTTTTAAGAAACAGAAGAGATTGGGTTATGAGGAGAGCCCATCTGTGTAAGAACTTTATCCAGCCATTGAAGAGGACCATGCAAATGAATTTCAATCCAACATGGTGTGCTTGTGACATCTTGCCGGTGATATTCAGCTCCCCAACCCTAGGAAATAGAAAAGTTTTAATGTTAGCAGATATGTCCTAATATACATACTAGCATCTTGGTCCTATTAGCATCTTGATAATACAAAGGCAATTTTTATTTGTTTAGCATATGGTATCTACAGAGGTCATACAATCATTGATACACAACACTAATAAAACACATTATACATTCAAACACAAATATAAGTTTAAATAAAGCATCGGCATATATATAGTATGTAGACAATACAATATATGAGATAAAATATTAAATTAAGGAAAAACCATAATAAAATCATCAAAATATAGTGCCATAGAGTTGCAATAGGATAGTTGTTATTCTACAAAGGCAGTAGGGAATACTAATCATTAGGCATTCTTTCTTTTTTAATGAATTAAGGTGTATTCCCATATTATGTTCTTTGCATCTTTATCAGTAGTGGATTTAAAGCATGGCTTGACGAAAAGAAAGCCATTTTCCAATTAACTCAGTACATATCACTGATGAGATTTGCAGTAAAAATTCCATTTCCACTTCCTGGGGAAAAATATGTGTCAATGTACAAGTAGTCCTTGGTTTATGATCACAATTGAGTCCAAAATTTCTGTTGCTAAGTAAAACACTTGTTAAGTGAATTTTGCCCCATTTTACTTACTTCCTTGCTACAATTATTAAGTGAATCACTGCAGTTATGAAGTTAGTGACAGTTGTTAAGTGGCTTCCTCATTGACTTTGCATGTGAGAAGATCACAAAAGGTGATCACATGAGCCCAGGATACTGCAACCGTCATAAGTACATGCCAGTTGCCAAGCATCCAAATTTTGATATAAACCTGACAAATAAATATCCATTTAATTATGCATCAATGGATAAGCTATTTCTGATAGGATATTATCTTCCAAAATTAAACTGCTAAATTTTGTAGTATCTTCAATAGGAGCATTACTCTCCAAACTCCACAGGCTTTCCACTGGATGGCTAAGATTCCAACACTCAATTGATCTGAAATTCTGATTAAGATTCTACCTCAAAATAAGGTTTAATAATTATGTAAAGCATTCCCAAGAGATACTGGAATAAGCAAAACATCTTTCTTCAAAGCATTAAAGCAGCTGTATCCTTTAGAAGTCTCGTACATTGCTTGGAGGGCTGTTAGTGACTGCTGTCAGGACACTTCAGCTGCCACAACCAGCAATGCTTCCTTTCCCAAACACATTTAGTGCAGATCCAGATCACAGTTAAGTTTTGAGAAACTCTTTCTCTCTTTCTGTATACATGCACACATGTGCAAGAAATTCTGTTGAGCTCTAAGATTTTAGGCAAATTAATGCCTTTTAAATTTTATTGTTTGGAGAGCAGGCAGTGAATTGCTAGCAACTCAAGCCATTGTTTTTTTTGTTTCTCTGGCTCAAAAAGTCACTCGTTCATGAACAGAAATGGAAAACCTTGCTTACCTTTACAAAACTCATACGAATAGTGCACATCTTAGTAAGTTCATACACAGTTTCAAAACCATGGTTCACTGACTGAGCTAAAAGTTGAGCGAATTCTTGATTGTTGAAAATTTTTAAGCTGCAGCCACTCGGAATTTTGCAGACGGTAGTTGGATGAAAGCCATGATGGTAATTGCAATTTCGACTTTGCACAAATATACTACTGTCACTAAGGCACTCTGCATAGACTTCTCCGCCAACATAATACAAATGGACTCCTGGAAAAGAGACAGAAGATTGTTAGATTTTCTCTGAAATTGTAGAAACTTCTACTTGTGGCACAAAATATAAATGAGGAATTGCATATACTCAATCAATTTAGCAGCTGCGTAGAGAAAATAAGGTTTTAGTCATCTGGGTATACTCTTACACCTAAGTATTTCCCCAATTATGAACAATAGGGATACTTCTAGATATTTGTTTTGGCAGCCTAAAACTATCAAAATACAAGAATTCATGAATTCACATTCTTTAATATAGTCAATCTCTTTGCAATTAGTCAAAACTACAACTTCTTTATGATGCCTAACTGGGATGCAATTGTCTTACACACATCTAGAAAAACTCTTTTTGTCTTCTAAATAGTCAGCCTTTCTCTCCTAACTGCCAATGGGGGGGGGGGTAGGGAACAAACATCTCTTACCTTTATATATTCTTGGCTTTTTAAAAGTATTTTGAGCACAACTGTGTGCTAATGTTTCCCTTTTCCCTTTTCAATAAATGCCTTTGCCATTCATCAAAATTACTCAAAAATATTTTTCCATAGAATTCATCCCAAGTCTTCATTATTAAAAAAAGATTCTAGAAAACCCCAATCCAAACCACTATCGCAGTTCTTAAAAGTAAGGATGCAACATGCTACTGGAGTGATATAATTTTGCCAATTCAAATGAAACTTATTTGCCTTTTTTTAAAAAAAAAACTTAAAAATTCCAATTTGCAACTGTGGATTGGAAAGAGACATGTCCAACCACTTTTCCCTTATTCTTCATCTATTATTACATAAAATACATCTATACTTCTATGTACAGGAGATTCAATAGATATTTCAGCCTCCAATATATAAGGATTTACCATCTTTACTTCAGCCATAGTCAGATTCATTTCAAATGGATTATTTCTATAAAATGTTGTAGCAGCTTTCTTTAATCTGCATTAGAGTATATTTCTCACTATCTCAGGACAATATCAACTTTTTCTGGAGAAATATCCATCACACTGGGGGGGGGGGAGGAGGTGTAATCCCATTCCTACAGCATTTTGCAGAGATAAACATATGAATAATGTTGTTGAATACATTATTTCTCAATGAAGCCTAAAATCCTGTTAAATGTAGTTTGCATCTCCAATGTACTGACATGATGAGAATCAATAATACCTTTGCCAATATGCCGCCTAGTATTCTCAATAGTAGAATTCCGGTTAACATTTGACAAGAGCCCCAGGCAAAACCTGTTCTTGTTATTTGAGGGATCAGTGAAGCCATCCACCAACAAACTTGTGGAAGAGGCATGAAATGCCTCTCCAACACGATTATTGAGTTCGTAATAGACAATAGAGCACCAATGTTTTGGCTCTTCATAAGCAACTGCCTGAACATCTGCAACAGAAGAAAAACAGAAATAAGCAATGCTAGAATTAATGAGTTCCTGAGCTTTAAAGTTTAATTTATTTATATTCATTGTGTAGACTTTGGCTTAAGATCATGGGGGAAAAAATCTGGTGGTATAGTTTCTAATTAGAACTTCTCCCACAGTGTCCCATTATATGATATATTTAAACCATATTAGTAATTCAGTCAAAGCATTCAAAGCTGAGAAATGGAAAGGAGGTGGAGCAGATATTTGAGCAAGCATATGAAGATTTCTTTTTAAAAAAGAATAGTTCCTCTAAGCAGCTTTGCATGTTGACTTACAAAAATAAAGGGTGCATAGTTCTTAAAGACAACAAATACATTATGGTGTAATTTCTTATGGAACAGACAGTAATTAAGTTCTCTTCCTAAGAATTTATTAGGTCTTTAGAATGCTACCAAATTTAGTCTACTGTAACAAAGTGAACACATAATTATATCTCATTTATTACAGTTCCTGTAATAATTACAGTTCCTTAGGTTTGGTTTAACCTGGTTTATTGAATAACCTTTAATGACTGTTCATACAATACAGTAAGTTATAAACATTGTTTTATAAACCACAAGAGCTAAGTGTATACAGAACCCAAACCTGTGTAGTCTTTGGTGATCTCTGAGTTTGGTTGTTTGCCCTAAGGCAAACACTGCTATATCTAAACAAGGCAAACCCCACACTCATTTGCACTGATATGAAATGGTCGTATAATGAAATGTCTGAAGCAAACAACTAAGCTCAGAGAACACCGAGGATTCCTTAGTTCATTCCTGAGCTACATATATTCTTTTTTTTTTTTTAGACTTCAAATCCAACCCATGTTATGGGTTAGTGCAATATATAAATCTTGTAAATTATTTCTAACAAAATATAATGGAGATGTATTTTTGGAATGTTTATTTAAGACATGCATTTATTAATCTTTTCCTTTTTTACAAATTTAAACTAAGGAAGAATTCTAGTCAACAATAACCATTCCTTCCTCTCAGCAACCAAAACTGCCTCTAGGGGAAAAAAACCCCTGTCTCCGCTATTCAACAAGAGAATATATTCATGCAACTACAGAACCTTCTGCTACAACAAAGTGTAATGAAACTGAAAGGATAACATAGAACTTCAAGGTCCATTTTTTGGGTACACTCATATAAGAAAAAATCCACTCATTCTGCACTAAATTTTCAGGTTGTGTTTAAGATTCATGCAGCCAATTTGTTTTTGATAAATTTTTAATTTACAATCTTATTAAAGTGTTAAGAGGGAAAAGTGCTGCTTTATAATCTATAGCAACAACAACCTCTTCCTGACTCACTGAACTACAAATTTAAGAAAGATGTTTTTGCTTTTACTGGCTAAAGAAACTGATTGCTTCCAGGAACTCTTGCCTTCCTTTTTGATAATTATCTTACTCAGAGTAATTCAAATGTATATGTCTGATACTGTCTGTTTACACAATGTTATTTTTATCCAGGCAGCTTGAGGCAACATACATGGGCTTCCTTGCATTTTATTATCATATCCATCCTATCAGGTAGATTCAGAATAAAAACATTGGAGTTGTTCATCATTACTCAGTGACATTAATGAGCAATCTGGGGTTTTCACTTTCTCCCCCTATATTTATTTCACACATCACAACTGCTTGCACAATATGTAAACCCAGACAATTTTTTTGGTATATGGTTTTCACAAATGAAATTGAACAGCTGGGTTCAAATATTGTGCTAAGCCATGGTTCATTTAAAAATGGTTTATTGAATAAACTACAGATGGCTGGGGTAGCACAACATGTTAAGGATTGGCCAACTGCTGCTGCAAACAATTCGCCGCATTTTTAATCCTTTCAAGTCACTGTTGGGCAATCTTTAATTATTAGTAACTCAGTGCACTTTTCACAGCAAGTTGCCAGTAACTATTACTGCTGCACAGCTTTGCCCTAGTTCTCAAACTCAGGAAGAAATCCTGCCAGCTGGCCATTCCTGAAGAGTGAAATCATCTCTCTCTCTCTCTCTCTCTCTCACACACACACACACACACACACACACACACACACACACACAGAGGCAGATTTCATACGAACTTCCTCACATTTGCCTTAAGTCATGCAGAGCAGGTGTGTTTTGTCTCTCCATTCCCAGCATGAGCCAACAATAGGAATTACCCAACTTCATTGACAGGATGCAGCTTGTTAAGTAAAGTCTCTTAAGACTAACAAATCTTCACAAGGAGCAGGCCTCCAAATCTCTGTAGCCAGAGAGCACTGGGGTTTGCGTTTATTGCTAGTGCCCTTCATAAACATGAACTGCAGCAGACCTTTTTGAAAGGCTATTAAACAAAGGATGTAACCATGCATATCAGGTAGAGGTCTGGGGCAGAGATAAGAACTCACTGAATTAGCGGAAACAGGTGTGGAATAAATAATATGAATGGAAAAAAGAGTCTATTTCCCCTTCACAAAATGAAGGGAAGAATACTCTAATTACAGTATTTTAATTACTAATATTACTAGTAGGAATCAGGTTGTCAACTTTACTCTTTCTGCATTCTTAAGGGCAACCTGCTTCACCTCATTTGCTCCCTGCCAAACAATATAATCCAAGATTAACAGGAAGAAAGAAACTGAAGCTTAATCTAATACCAATTCTAGCAAATTTATAAGATTCGTCTGAAACTGGTGTAATTGGGGTTTAGCTGACATCCAATTCAATACAACACAGCCCTAGTGGCTGATGTACTGCCAATCCCTAAATTAATGTCTGACTTAAGAACAACCACTAGGGCTTATCCTTAAGGATACAAACAAGCTTACTATTACTAGCAAAGGTGGATGACATTCTCTTCCTCAAGCTCACAAAGCACTGAAGCTGCACAGTATTTCCAGAACTGCTGAAGGCAAATATTTTTAAGCTATAGCCTGTTTTCAGCAATTTTCATTGGTTCCTAAAAACATTGCGCTGCTACAGTGATTTAATCTGCTGGAGGAAGGACAATACCATTTGCCATTTTTAGTAATAAGCTGTTTGCCTGTCTACGTTCCAACTTAAAATACAAATTTGGGTTAAGGCAGTTAGGGAATGGAACTAGTTATTAACCAGTGGACTGCCTGTAATATGATCATATTCTTAAGTTCAAAGTCAATTCAATTAGATGCCAAATGGATCATTGGGTATGAGCACTTGCCTCTTTCTTGCACATAACTAATTTGTGGCAACTCATACCATAACCCTTAAAAACTCAATCAAATCTCTTAGTTTACATGGATAGAGGAAGGGGACAGTCCTAGGGAATGAAAATATTTTAGGGTTGAGATATTTATACAATTTTATAAAAATTTTGGAAATTTTATAATTTTTATAATTTATAAAAAAATAAAAATATGCAGAAAATCATAGTTAAAGCAAAACACTGGGAAATTTGTCTTTTTTCAGCTACAAGGACTACTTACAATAAACAGATCAGCAAAAACGCAAGTGTTTACATTTATCTACTAAAAGCTTGCTTTAAAGCAGAATAACATGAAGAAATTGTTGCTTACTTTTATCCTTCAAAAGCTTTTCAGTTGCTTACTAGGCTTAGTAGCAGCCAAGTTATCCAGGTGGTTGCATATCTGGTCCCAACAGCTTGACAGGGCATATTGTGACTGAACTATCTCCAAGTATAGCAAAATGTGTGAACATATATTGAATGCTAGTGCTCAATTAAACACAATTTTGTCTGCTGAACCATTTTGCACAAGTCTTAACATAAGCATCTTATCATATCCACTGCTGCTTTTAAGCGCAGCACTTAAGAGTTGATGCATGTCATTTTTATTCTGCCTTCTTCTTTAGCAGGAATTTAAGACAATACAATGAAAATATAAAACAGGAAGTAAAAGTGCCATACACATATACAAACATTTTTCATAATTGAAATATGAAGTGTCACCTCCTCTGTTTATTTCTGAAGGAATTGAAGGTGCCATCATATTGGTATCCATTGGTTGTGAACCATCCTGGGTCATCTGGTCTTCTGGAGGTAGATAAGCAGGAGGGGGAGTATCAGCTAAGGTAAAACAAAATACTGTTATTTCATCTTTGTACCTATCCATTTTATGGACAGTGCTAAGCCAAACTACAATGTACTTATAATAATAGAAGAAAACCATCCATTTTTTACTCATCTCTGTTAACATGGCTATCACAGAAATTATTTACTTTTCCTTGAAGGAATTAGGTTTGGGAAAGTTCTGAAGCAAACAGATCAAATCTCTATATGTGAAAAAGAAGTGCTGATGATTTGCATACAGGTCATCTTTTCCAATATATTTATCAGTAGACAGGTGCTACATCCTAGTGCACAACAACAAACATTTAAAGCACAACTTATTGATGAAGGCATTAAAATTTAATAATCAATGGAGGCAAAGCATCAATGTAAAACTTTTAGTATTACTGATTTGCAGCCATAGGTGATTATCTCTATATTATTTTTATGCTAACATTGTCCTGGTGTTTATTTGTAACATTCTCTTAACCCAAAGGTATGCTATTGTCAACTGAACTCATCCTTAGGTTTCAACACCCAAAATGTAGAAAAAAAATTATAGGAACTAAGCATTTACTTAGTGGGGGAACTGGGAGGTTGCCATTCTGCCATCTTAAAAAGTTTACCTAACTTTTCTAAAAAGAACACCCTTTGCTATTAAAATGGCTAAATAAAATTACATCTTTTTCTGAAATAATGAAGAATATGCTATAGTGCATATATTATAGCATTATTTAGTAACTACTGCCTTCTTCTTGTTTCTTAAATCCAGTTTCTGGAGATTCCATGGCTAAATCACAGAATAGAAGCAGCAGCTAAGTAGAGTTTTTTTTTTTTTCATAAATTCAACTGGGAATAAAAATGTAACTCCATAAAAAAATTCTGACTTGAGCAATCATTTAAAACTTACTATAAAAATATATGTTATTTAGGAATGATCACATTCCTTCCAAAAACATAAACTTTATTCGTCTTATTGATGATTTACCTTCAAACAGTTGGTTGGCCTAGAACACATTAATGCCTCACGATCTTGGGAGACATATTCTCAACTTTAATTAAGCTCAAATAGCTTGGTGATATTCAGTAACTGCCAACATACTACGTCATCCTATATCAGTGATGGCGAACCTTTTAGAGACCGAGTGCCCAAACTGCAACCCAAAACCCACTTATGCATTGTCGGGTGCCAGGTGGGTGTGGCCCATTGGCTGGGTGTGCCCATTGGCTGGGTGTGGCTGTGGTGGTAACGGCAGACTGGGGGGGACTAAAAAGTTCAATCAATCAATTCCAACTTTGCAAGATCTTTTTTTTTTCTGCGAGAAGTTGAAATTGACTGATTGAACTTTTTTTTTTGTACACAGCGGCGGAGCCTAAAGCGAAAAGGTTTTATAAAACCCAGCTGAAGGCCTAGGACTGGGGCGACGGTGCGCGTGCCCACAGAGAAGGCTCTGAGTGCTGCCTCTGGCATCCGTGCCATAGGTTCGCCACCACTGTCCTATATTCTCTCATGAATGAGGGAAAACTATCTATATGCTTTATGTAAGCAAGCTATATATATTTTATAGTTATTTTGAAACTTGATGAAGCCTCAATAATATTAAGGAAATCTGAGGTAAGAAAGAAAAAATAAACAAGTCTGTCTTGGCCTAAAGGATGGTAGCCTGAGCAAAGCAAGGCCAAAATTATCTTATTAGGAGGAATATCCAAATCCTTTCTAGTTCCCCTTCTGGAACATGAGGGATATATCCACTTAAGTATGCTTTAGTTCCACTGCAGAAAATAATGCAGCTATTAGGAAACATATTTTATCAAAAATTTTGGAAATATTTTATTGGCTTAACAAATGCACTAAAACCACTGGAACATCATCCTTCCCCTCTTTGCCTCCCGCTGGTCAATGTGCTGTCCCAAAACCATTGTCAATGCTAAGAAGCTGCTGCTGAGGTTTCTCAGAAGAAGCTTACCTGGCATCTGAAAAGGGCTTCCTGGGTCAGAGCTGGCAGGTGAATGAGGGTAGGTACCACTGCTGCTTCCAGGCGAATTTGGATAGCTACTGTTTGGTGAATGGGGGAATGGATGACTGTTGGGTTGCTGGAAAGAGTCTGGAAAAGTAGCATTATGTGGCATATGAGGCTCGTTTTGTCCCAAGTTGCGAAATTGAGCCAGGAGACTGTGCTGAGGGTTGTATTCACTGTGTCTAGGAACAAGCACAGGAGGAAGAACTGAAAAAGAAAGAGAAAGGGAAGCTTGAAAACAAATACTGTACACAATGATAGCTGTACAATCATTTCAGTTCCAGTTAATGAAGAAGTCATACTTTAGGAACAGGTCTAAGGAGCAGGCCTAAGCAAAAATATTTCCTTGTGTCTAGCTACTACATAACTTACATTTTTGCTGGATGCACCAACTGCAGAATCCCACAGCTAGAAATTTAGTTTTAGCAACTGGGAGAAAAGTGGTTAGGTTTGCAGGCACTGGGACAGTCTTTAATTTATGCAAAGTATTGGGTACTGGCATCCTTCTGGATTAAATCTAGAATAGTTCAGGTTTAGGTTTATTCCATTATACATGACTTATATCCCACTTTTCCTCTTTTTGAGTTAACATACATAGTGCTGCCTTCTCCAATTTTTTTTAATATATTTTATTATTTTTTTTAACATAATCACCATTAATATTTGGTAAACAGCATGTTGTCCGGATTTATATTTACAATCAATCAGTAACAATTAGTTTCTATAATTCCATACTCTACATAGTAGTTTTCCTTGATTTTCTCTTTTTTCAATAATATTCTCTTTTATCAACCTTAAATTAGTACATTTCTTAGTATTTTAATAGATAACAATTGAATATAAACATTTTTCTAGTATTTCTACAAGTAACAACCACATAAATATGAAGCTTCTTTTCTAATTAATCATCTTACTCACCTTATCATAGATCCTGTTAGTAAGGTTCTTATTTAAATTTATTTTCCCCACAATGTTCAAAAACATTTCTACCTGTTAAGATTTTCTTAGAATTAATTACACTTAAATATTTAAGTCTTTTTCCTCATACAAGCCATCCCAACAGTTTTACATTTCTTGTAACTTAAAACAAAAACAAAAAAAGAGAAGAAAAAAGAAGGAAATAATATACTACTTGAAAAACTTGTCCCTCTTAAGCTAAATTACATTTATGTTCAAAAAAATTTCTATTCTTTTTAAACATATTCAAATCTTTAAGTATTCCGTCTAATAAATCCACAGCTAATCTTTTCAAAACATTCTTATTAATTGAAAGATTGATGAGAGTATATGTGTTTCCTGAGAGCCAGTAATACTACATCATAGTGAAAGTCAGATTTTCCCACTTCTCTAACGTTTAAGCAAAGGCATGCAAGACATTTCAAGTCATGTGATTTTATCAAATTTCTACAAAAGCTGGATCTGCAGAATGCTTCTTTCTACAAAAGCTAGATGAAAATCTGCAGCCACTTCTTTTGGTTTTCTAATCAGATTTTCCAGGAGCAAAAGACACTGGATTCTCCATATAAACTACAAAGGCCAGAAAGAAGGGAAAGTATCACTTCTAGCATACGTTGCCTGTAACACTCATGCACTTAATGCCATTAATTTAGGCTCGATTATTATGCTGGGAAGCATCATGTTTTCCTTTCCTAAAAAACTAAATTACAAAGATCTGGGTAAGACCACTTAAAATCTCCATAAGCTGTGCAATCAGAAGAATTAATAAATGGAAAAAGAAGTTCAGGCCCTAAAATAGGCATGCAATTTAATATGGCCAGGCTTAAGGGATTGTCATGGATGCCATTATGGCATCTTTGAAGAAAAGTACAGTTTCTACATACACATGCTCTAATGAACCATTTCATAAGCTACACTAGACTTTAATATAATTTCTCTGAATTTGGCTGAACATTATGAGTGACCCCAACCATGTGTGAATCCAATCATTTGTTAAGTCACTGCTTGTGGTTTAATATGTTATGTATACCCCATCAATTGTGGTTTGTAAAATAAACCAGAAATGTTACTTGAACTAGATCAGTGATGGTAACCGTATTCAGGAAAATACATATTTTTAAATTGTAAAGCTTGATCAGGGTCAGAATCTTCACTGTAAAAAATTAAGGGCTAAAAATGTATATAATGGGGGAGAATGCTGATTTTCAGAAATTGCTGGCAGCCCAGGGGAAGAGATATAATTGAAGAGACAGCATGAGACTTCTGCTGTATTCAGCCAAGCACACCTGTTGCCACAAAACAAACAAGAGGCCCACATCTGCTCTTTAAAGAGGCTGAGAGCCCCTGGAGGGTAAAGCTGTAGAGGTGTTAACTCTTGCCTAGACTGAAGCAAATGCTCTACTGCACTGTATAGACAACTATTATTTCTCAGACCGAAGCATCCTTCTAGAGCTCTGTGTTTTCCAAATTTAAACTTCCAAAATTCTCAACTGGTGGGTATGGAAGCTAGGACTTTAAGAAACTGTTTCCAATGGAACTGAAGGACACTAGATTATGGATTATGGATCTTTAAGGACCATGACAAGAGACAGATATTAATGTCCCTGACCCTCAAATCACCTTTCAACTGTCTGAAACAAAAGCCAAATCTAATGTACTGTGTTTTACCTAATATGATATGCAAAAAACATACATTATGATTTAGTGTTATGTGTGAATCAGATTATATTTTGCCAAGAAATCATAGTTTAAAAATAAGCCCCAACTGACTGACTTCATATAATATATGAAATAATACCAAAAACCTATATGTGTTATTTAGTATGATGAGCAAATTCACCCTTGGATTTGGTTCAAATGCCACATCTACTGTAATAGTTATTCCAGTGACAAAATTAATACTGATGTTATAACTGAAAAAACTGGTTTTAAACATTTTAGAAGGATTAATTCAGGAATTCAGCATCAATTATCTGAATAATATTACTGTCAAGCCCTGCGGGGCTTGCCTTTCACTGGTGGGGGGAATTCGGAAACCGGTCCATTGCTGCTGAACACAACTGCGATGCTGCCCAGCCCCTTGCATCGGCCGGCACCAGAGAAAACCCCCCCTCGCCGCCTCGCCAGCCAGCTGGGTGTTGGAGACCGGCAGAACATCGCCGAGCCCAGCTGGCTGTCACCTGGAAACCCCAAGCCTACCGCTCCGCCGCCCAGCTGAGTGTCGGATGGCCTGTGGCCGCTGCGGAGCCCAGCCGACATGCGCAGACCGGCAGAAGGCCGGAACCAGGCAAGGGACTCTTCTCAATAACAGCGCAAACGACCTGTACAACAGCTGGACAAAGAGGGGGGAGGTGCAGAGCCAGGGGCCGCACACCACAGAGCACACATCGTTACCAGGAGAAATACTGTTGGCAGAGCACAGGGCCTCGGAGGAGCCTGGAACAGCGCGTCAGCTGATAGCACCATCTTGAACGGACAGGAGGCAGGGCAGAGGGGTGGAGTGCAGCTGGGGGAGGGCCAGGGCCGGACAAACGGGCTTTTAAAGACAGCTGGGTGGATGGTGGTTAGTGGTTGGAGGGCGGGATTGTGGTGTGGCACTATTATATGAAGCACTGAGAGCAAGCCACTCCCAGTGCTGACTTTGTTTGTTAGGGATTAAAATACCTGATTTGCACTTCGTTCCTGTGTACCTGCATTTATTCCATCGGGACGACGACCGACAGCGTGACAATTACATCATGCAAACAAAAATTGTTATGGATGCTGCAAAGTTGAAAAGGCAGCTTTTAATATTATAAACTGTAAAACTATTTGAAGGACCATCAGATTGCGTATATCGCAAGAGGAAAATCCATTTGAAACTTGTTTTAATTAATTATTACAGACACATTCAGAACAAAGAATTTCCCACAAGTCTTTACTTGTGAAAATCACATCAAGAAGGAATATTTAGTCATATTTAGATAATCGCCAGCTAAGATCTTCTAGAAAGTCTGGAATTCCTACCTAAAATTCAAAGTGTATATCTTACACACTCTGACATTATCAGATTCAATAGATTAGTGCATTTTTAAAAAGAGGTCTGAGAATTTGGGATTGAACAGATTTTTTTCTAACCAAAACCCATCTGAGCAAAGAGCTAATCATGATAATAGTGGTTTTAAAATCTCTGTGACTGTTGACTTGAAATTTTGCAAACCTTGACTAATATGTACTTTATTTATTTATTTAATAGTTATACCTCACTTTTCATTCAGGAGTTCAGTATACAATATATAGCACTTCCTCTTTTTATTATTTCTCACAGCAATAGCCTTATGAGGTAAGTTATAACTTGAAGACAGAGACATCTGTTTTTCTTGTGTATATTAATAACTATGATAGCATTTTCCAAACTCGTGCCTTTGCACAATTAGAATGAAACATTGCTGAGGGAAAAACAAGCAGACTATTTTTTTTTAAAAAAAAAAGCAAATTTCTCACCCAAATGTAAAAGTTTGGAAGAAGAAGCAATTTAAAGAAAAAGAATACAGAAATAAGGGTCTTTATTTAGATGTCCTCAGAATACCAATATGTTACATAATAGAGGAAGGTGTCCTGTATTAGGTAAACTATTGTTCTCTTAAGTAAGGGTACCCAACCCCCAGTCCGTGAACCGGCACTGGACCGCGGCATGCCAGAAAACTGAAGTCCGAAGTCCCATTCCTGGGATTCAGGCAGCACGTGAAACCACACTCCCTCCGGTCCACGGAAAAACCTCTCTCCACGGAACCGGTCCCAGGTGCCCAAAAGGTTGGGGGCCACTGCTCTGCGGTAAGAAAAGTTGTCCTCTGATGTGGAAAGAAAGTTAATATGGCAGATACATATTCCAAATAGATTTTCTACTCTTATGTACAGTATATATATCACTTGACACTTGGTTCCTTTGCTTGCACAACATGCAAAGATTCAAATAATTTATAAAGTACTTAAATCACTGGGGTTTTCAATATCATCAAACTGCTAAGGTAATTCAGAAATGATGTCTGAATCCAATTAATATGAAACATTGCGTAAAGTTTCACACATTACTTCACCAAATTGAGTAAACTGCTCATTACTTCCACGTGCAATATAACCGTAGTACCAAAAGGATGTGTTTCAAATCATCTATGTCTTAGAAATGCAGCCAGTGGAGATTTTTACCAAAGTCCTTTTCCAATTATAACCCGCTTAATTTGGTTTATGAAATGAAATTTACTTCTTTTAAT